TCCAGAACAGACAATAATGGGGGGATAAGGAGTGAGGGTTGGCTCCTACATGGTGAAGGGTGGTAGTGTCTGGAGCAATAAAGAGGGATCGGCTTCCAGGTGTCAGGTCCAGAGCAGACAAAGAGGAGGGGAGAAAGCATGTCAGGTCTGGAGTGGGCCAGGCATGTCAGATTGCGGATTTCGGATCAGGGTTTGAGAGATGTGATGGATATGAGGGAGTTTAGGTGAGGGTGTGTGAGGCGAGTATGGGGCCAATTGAATAGTCACTCAGGAGTTAGACTCTGTATTTAATATTAATAGTCTAACTTTACCTGATTAACTATGTACTCAATTTCATCAGAATCCTTATTCTCTGACTGAAACTTTTGCAGGGTTCTAGGTGTAGTAGAATTATCCAGTGGAATCTTCAATTTCCTTAAAATTTCCTTAAGATTCTGATTCTACACGTGTGCAATTCCCAACTATGCTGGAATAATAACTTTCTGGCTAAAATAATTAAAGTGTTTGAAAGGGAGGTAAAGGGAAACAGTTTTGTCTTACGAAGAAATTGATATATTTTGAACAAGAGGGCGTACTCTTAAAATTAGAATCAGGTCACCAAGAAGTAGAATCAAAAAGTCCTTCTTCAGTGGGCAGGAAATGAAAATCAAGAACTCTGCCAAAGAAGGCTGCACTTGCTAGGTCAAAGTCTCCCAGCCCAACATCGAAAGATATTTGTTAGATACGCCTGTGAATTAGAGCAAAAGCAAGTTAATGGGATCGATGTACAGATCACCCATCGTCAAACTGGTGAAAATCGTGTGCTCCTGCTTCTGCATGGCTTTAAAGTGGCATTGTAGATTGTAATCCTAGCATTGCACAAATTATGAATAATGTTATTTGCATTAATTAGTGTTATATCATTAGTTTTTTTTAGCTAGAGACTACCATTTTTATTTTATTTTAATGGATCATTTGGTGTACTATTTGCATTGTGCTAATTTAATCATTGTTTTCTTCCTGTTAGAAATGTACATTCTCGTTCTGCTGGCCGTCCAACCATTAATCTTCTGAAGGAACAAGGTCTAAAATTTGAACTTCTTATTTTCTGTTTTAGAGCTAGCATTTGTATAATAGGACCCAAATTTTAAGAGATGGAAGATCTCTTGGCTTTAGCCAAAATGGTGTCGGAGCCCCAAATTCAGAAATTCCGGTTCATTTCTGACATACGATATTTTCACCAGGGAATGAAAGGAGCCAGTATGTGATTATCACACACGGACGATCTGAAATCAGCAGGGCCGTCTGTGATTTGCATTTTTGCTAGAATAAGTTCCATTTTCCACAGTGTCTAATTGCTGATTATTGAGAGTAAAAGTGAGTGAACCTAAAATGTGAATAAGATTTGCAGCACTATGAAGTTCTTTAAATCTATGTTCTTTAAATTAAAAAGGCACCTGGCTGTGAAAGAAAATTGGTGCTTGCAATTTCAGTGGCTGTTTGTTGAAATTTGTGGAAGGACTGCTTGACTGCTACCATAGCTGAAAACGATCGAAGATGGTGCAGGATCCTGACTCAGGAGAAACAGCCCTGAACAGCCAGAATTTCACTCCAGGGAGCTGGTACAGACTGGTATGGGACCCATTACTGCTGGAAATATCACAACGAAGACCCTGTATTTTGCAGTTTAGTTGACAGCTCCAAGTAAATATAAAGAGATTAGCTGTCTTTGATGTTGGTGTAGGAATACAATTTTATATGAGAAATTAAGTACTTAAAGGGAGTAAAATGTATTGAATGGGTTTTTATCAAGTAGCGTTTTTTTAAATACAGCGAAGTCTGCAATAAATGCTCAAATCTTTATTTTGTTTCATGTCAGGATTGTCCCTGCTCAAATCGATACCGGCAGAGTTGGCATGGAGGGATATGGTCAATTGGTTGTGAGTGGGGACGTGTTGACATGAATTGGCTGTAACATGATGTAGAGTGTATGGTGATGTGGGTTCATTGTCTGGCATAATTTGACCTATAAGGGACTCTGGTTATGGGTCAAGGGGCATAAATTAGCAGGAGAGTATGAGAGTCATTGTCAAGAGGGACATAGATCATGGGGGTGTATGGCACTTATAAGGGGTAGTTGGGGCTAATGATTTGATATGAATGGGACATGGTGAGTGAGGGGTTGTGAAGGCTAGAGAACCATTGTTGTTTTATTATTGACATTATTGTTTTCTTCTTGTGGCTCCCTCCACACTGTTTCCAGCTCTGGTGGGTCCCATTCCAGTATGTACCAACCACCCTGGAGTGAAAATCCAGTAGTTCAGAGCTGTTTCTCCTGAGTCATGGTCCTACACCATTTTTGATCTTATTTCAGCTGCCTAAATTGCAAATCTAGAATTCCGTCCCAACTACCACCTCACTGTAGTTGCTGGCAGAGCTGGTATTGACTACCCAAGTTACTGTAAAGAGATTGGGTTGGCATAGGGAGGCTGACTGGCATACTCAAATTTCAGGCCTGCATCTAAAGTAAGGGTATCTAAGGCTGAAAACGGGAATGTCATATTTTTGTTATCATTGCTCGTTTAATTTCATGAAGTCTTTCCTTGCTCATTCCTGTAGCCCTGGCAAGAAAAATATTGATTGCTAATTAGCCTTCTTGTCAAAGCTGAGGTATCTTTCTCCTAGTGCAAGTGTTAAATTTGTGTGTGAGATAAAGGGATGCCTGGTACATCTCCTATAACGTCATCACACTAGTCGGATGATGATATTGAATTAGTTGTCAAGCCCAACATTGTTTTACTCATATGAAATAAATGCTAAAAATACACAGTAGATCTGGCAGCATCTGTGGAGAGGGAAATAAAATTAATGTTTCAGCTCAGTGACCTTTCATCAGAACATGAGAAAAATTAGAAATATAATTAATTTTAAGTAAGTAAAGGTGGGGATGCAAAGAAGAAAAGTTCGAGATATAGTAGAAGACAGGAGAGATTAAATGACAAAAGTGTAGGTGGTGCAAGGACAAAGGGAGCAGCAAGGCGGGGGACAAGCAAAGAAAGAGAAGTTGTGCCTGGACAGAGGGTAATTGTAGAATGATGAATGGTTACTGTCTAAAAGCTGAAACAAAATAAAGAGGTAGGGGAAAACCAAAACCAGCCAAGAGAAGAGAAACAAATTGGGGATAGTCATTAACAGCCTGAAATTGTTGAATTCAATATTGAGTCTGAAAGACTATAATGTGCTTGATTGAAATTTGAGCTGCTATTCTTCAAGCCTGCATTGAGCTTCATTGGAGCACTTCAGGCTGAGAAACGAGCGATTGACATGGAAACAAAGAGGAGCTTGTGGGAGCTTGTGGACTGAGTGGAGGTGTTCTGCAAAGCACCCATCCAGTCTGCTTTTGGTCTCTCTGGTTTAGATCAGGCCAAATTTAGAGCAGCAAATGCAGCAATAAATTGCTGTTTCACCTAGAATGAGAGTTTAGAGCCAAGAACAGTGAAGGCAGAGGAGGTAAAAAGACAGTTGTTGCAGTTGCTGCATTTAGAAGTACAGGGATAGTGGAGGGAGTTGTTGGGGGTAATTGAGGAGTTGATCATGGTGTTGTGCAGTGAACAAATCCTACAGAATGCTAAAAAGAGAAGGGAACATGTATTTGGTAGTAACATCAGGAGGTGAATGAAATGATTATGGAGGCTGGTGGAATGGAATGTGAGATCAAGGGCAATCCTGTCATGGTTCTGGGAGGTAGGGGAAGGTGTGAGAAGAAATGCAAGAACTAAGACAAACATGATTGAGGCCTCTGTCAACCACGGTGGAGGAGATCTTCAGTTGAGGAAAAGAAAGAAGCACTGATTTGGAAGCTTCTTTCACTGGAACACATGCAACAGTGATGGAAAAGCTCAGAGAATAGAATGGAGTCTTCACAGGAAAAGGAGTGTGAAGAAATGTGGTCAGTATAGATGTCAGTGTTGATGGGCTTATGCTGGACATTTGTTAATAACTGTTATCCAGATGGCGACGGAGGAAGTCAAGAAAAGGCAGAGAACAGTTGGAGATGGTATATGTCAAAGCGAAAGAATGATTAAAATTGGAAGCTTCTGTTTATCTGCATAGATGTTTCCTGCCAGCTGAATATTTAAAGTATTTTCTGGTTTTGTATTAGATTCAAGATGCTGTGTGTTGCTTCTATATTACTGTCTCACACATATCAGGTAATGAATGACATCTTCCATTAGGCCAGCAGCATCCAATGCTGCAAAGTAAAGGGATTCAGATTCATAAAGAGAGCACCTTTTGTTCAAGCCTGTATCCAGAATCTCTGGCCTTAGATAAGTGGGGGTGTGCCCAGATGAAATATAAAACAGATTGTGCAAACATGAATTCTGCTTACATTAACTCCTCAGTTTTATCTGGTCTGGTTAATAATGATGTCATGAATGCTAGACATGTTCCAACTAGAAAGAAAACTACATTACTGTAAATTATTACAAAATAAAGTGTGGGAAAATTCTTTTGTTTTCCTAGGAGCTAAGAAAGTGTTGCTGCATGCATTTGATGGAAAACCTTCTGTTGCTATGGAAGGGGTGAAAGCTGGATTTTTCTTTTCAATTCCACCATCTGTCATAAGAAGCGAGCAGGTTAGATTAAACATAATAATGTTTGCCAAAAACATTCAAGCTAAGGAACAAAAACAGAAGTTGCTGGAAAAGCTCAACAGGTCTGGCAGCATCTGTGAAGAAAAAATCGGAGTTAACGTTGCGGTTCTGAGGAAGGGTCACCGGACCCACAACGTTAATTCCCATTTTTTGTTTTTGTTCCTGATGTATAGCATCCACAGTTCTTTCAGTTTTTATTTAACATTTAAGCTAAGCATGTAGCGGTTATATTAATTCTCTTTTGAAGACCCAAAACTCCATTGCTAAGGTTCAAGGTACAGTATTTGTGAAAAGGTAATCTGAGATACTTCCACAGTGGTCACTTTGCTCAATCACACAACTTTGATGCTCTTACCACCAGCAAAACCTTGCTGCCTCTTGTATTGCTCATTGTATGGTATGGTTTCTTTCTTATTGTTTCAAATCAAAGAGGCACGGATTTGAACATAAAAGCAAAATACCCAAGATGCTAGAAATCTGAAGTAAAAGCTGAAGGTTCTGGAGAAGCTCTGTTCCTGTATCCACCGAAACTGCTAGACCTGTTGAGTTTCCCCAGCACTTTCTGTTTTTATTTCAGATTTGTGAGTATGAGATGCAAAACTGATAGCTAATGTAGCATCAGCTTGATTGAACTACATCAGCCACTATTGAAACTTGTACTTTTCCATCAAAACTGCAATCCAGAATCATTCTGGACCACTGATGACACAGCTACCTTTCTACTGAACAGACTGTCTGCTGTCACTCTATTTTCTGTGCTATCATCGCCAACAACATATGAAAGCTTATTTGTCACTAAGATTCAATGCTGTTTCTACCCCATTGGCTTTCCCATCAGGCCAAACCTCCCCAGAGGCTCCCTGCTCCTTAAGGTCTGAATCATTGTGTCATTGTATTTCTCTCTATTCTCCCCTTATTGGGATTATTTTGTTCATGATTTCCATGAGCTTCTCTCATAAGTCCATTATACTAACTACACTTTTCTCTCCTTTCCTCAAATCACCCACGCTTGATCACTCTGTCTTTGTAAATTTCCACTATGAATGCAAACTCGCAAACATTTCCAAATTTGTGATACGTTGTGATATCGCATATCAATGTTTGTTTGTCCTGCAGTCTCTCCAATCCAATTCATGCTTCTGTCACATCACCAAAATTGTCCTAACCAAGATTTCATCTCCTGTGACTGCCTGTTATGATCCCAGCTGACATTATTCCTGGACAAGTCAAGATTCCAGACTGAAATTGACCTTGATCGATTCGTTTCTTTTTGTTATGAGGTGCTTTCACTGAAACACAAGCGTCAATGCTGCAGATACAGAAATTTATTACACAAAAGAAATGACAATAAAATATTATAAACCAAGCTATTTACATATAACACAATTTGAAATAATTCAAAACACATGGTAAATTTACAATCCCACCTATCCCAACAGCAACACTTTACAGCCCTTAAATACCAGAGAGAAGGAGTTGCCTTCTCCATCATCTCCATAGGTTTGACTTATGTTTCTTTTGATTCTTGTTCTTGGGTTGTTGGCCTTTCCCTTGACTATTCACACAACTGAGTTTACACTTTCTCTGTTTCAAATAACCCCTTTAGAAGGGTTCTATTCAGACATGTCAGGTTTGTAATTTCAAACTAAATCCCTTACACTATTTCCTAACTGTTTTGAGCTAACTCCTTTCTCAAGGAAAATCTGTCCTTACATCCAACTTCAGCCTAGACTTCTGCAAACTGCCTCCACCAGCTTTCTGATCTTTGTTTCATCTCCCTTAAGCAAAAAAATTCCTGATTCTTTTAAATCAAAAGCAGCAAATGCCTTTCAATGTTTGCTCTGTCCAATCAAAGAATTATTAGCTTCCGAAGGCAAATTATTAAACCCTTACAAAAACACAGACCAATATCCACATGCCACTAATTCAAAATCTAAACTCAAAGATAAATTATATTGATGTACATAAATCATATACCTTACATCACACTGCATGTTTCCTTCTCATCCTATTGCACCACTCTGCAGCATTAAACATGGTCCACCACACTGTCCTCCTCCAGTGCCTCTTTGCCATTTTCTAATTTAATAGGACTACCATCACTTACTTTTGTTCTTAACTCTCTGAATGTTGCTGGAGGATCTCCAGTAATAACTTCTCTAATCTCAGCAATGTAACCTCCAGATTCCACCAAGACTTTATTTTTAGCCCCTTCCTCTTCGTCATCTATATGTTACCTCATAGCAACATCATCCATAGACATGGGGTCAGATTTTGCATGCATGTTAGTGACACCTATTCAATTCCTTCATCACGTCTCTCAACAAATTCACCACACCCCCACCGCCTCAATATCCCTGTGTATTCTGCTGATTGTCTGGATGATGTCTCAATTTGAATGAGATGACTGCATTTCCTGTCTCAGCTTCTCTGGTCAGGTTGAACCAGACTATTTGCAACTTAGAGAAAATCTTCCATCATTAAGACAGAATCTGACTTCGTGGTGGAAAATTCTTGTAACCTACTTATAATCTGCCAGTATCCACTGTGTGACTCCAACTTGGATTGTAATCATGTGGCTGAGAAGGGCTGTTGCTACCCTTAGGACTATTATTATTATTATTAGGACTACCATCACTCAATCACAGAGTAGGAATTATATCCTTATGACTAAAGGACAGAAAATTGCAAACAACAAAAAGACACGTAACAAAATAGTTTTGTAACAAAACCAGAAATTGCTGGAAAAGCTCAGCACATTCTGAGGAAGCGTCACTCAACCCGAAATGTTAACTCTGTTTTCTCTCCACAGATGCTGCCAGACCTGCTGAGATTTTCCAGCAATTTCTGTTTTTGTTTTTGATTTACAGCATCTGCAGTTCTTTCGGTTTGTAAAATAGTTTTGTGAGTTAGGCAACAGATATGTAAAACTTAAATGTTGATGGTTATTATTCAGCTTGGGCTGACAAGTGGCAAGTGACATTCATGCCACGCAAATGCCAGGCTATGACCATCACCAATAAGAGACAATCTAACCACCGCCCCTTGACATTCAATGGTATCACCATCACTGAATCCCCCACTATCAACACCCTGGGGGTTACCATTGACCAGTAACTCAACTGGACTCACCACATTAACAGAGTGGCTACAAGAACAGGCCAGAGGCTGGGAATACTGCGGCGAGTAACTCACCTCCTGACTCCTCAAAGCCTGTCCACCATCTACGAGGCACAAGTCAGGAGTGTGATGGAATACTCCCCACTTGCCTGGATGAGTGCACCCCCAACGACACTCAAGAAGCTTGACACCACCCAGGACAAAGCAGCCTGCTTGATTGGCACTACATCTACAAGCATTCACTCCCTCTACCACCGACGCTCAGTAGCAGCAGTGTGTACTATCTACAAGATGTACTGCAGAAATTCACCAAAGGTCCTCAGACAGCACCTTCCAAACCCACGACCACTTCCATCTAGAAGGACAAGGGCAGCAGATATATGGGAACACCATCACCTCCAAGTTCCTCTCCAAGTCACTCACCATCCTGACTTGGAAATATATCTCCGTTCCTTCACTGTCACTGGGTCAAAAACCTGGAATTCCCTCCCTAATGGCATTGTGGTTCAACCCACAGCTGGAGGACTGCAGTGGTTCAAAAAGGCAGCTCACCACCACCTTCTCAAGGGCAACTAGGGATGAGCAAAAAATGCTGGCCAGCCAGCGACGCCCACATCCCATAAAAGAATTTTAAAAAATTTACAGCAATTTTCATACATTGAATGTTGCTACTCCAAACCTGTGGGGCAAACAGGTTTGTTACAGGAAAATTTTTTAAGAACCTTTTATATTTAAACTGTGACAATGAATAGATTTCAGTGGATTTTAAATGTGTTGAAAGATATCGTTTAACTGAATTTTCTCGATCATTTTCAATTTTTGTAATCTGCAGACATACTAATTTTCCTATTACTATTCCCAAGAAGCAGAAATTGGTGAAACAGCTACCACTAGAGTCAATCTGCTTGGAAACGGACTCTCCTGCTTTAGGGCCAGAAAAACAGGTAACCCGGTAATTCTATATGTATAATTGACTGTCTCAAATCAAAATGTAGGTGAATCAGAAATATTTTACAACAAAAGCGATCCCGCCCCGCCCCCAACCCTGCTGATTCCGCCCCAATATTCTGATCTCAACCTCTGACCCTTCTGATTCCACCCATGATCACTCTGATTCTACCCCGACCCTCTGTTCTCGACCCCTGACCCTTATGATGTTGCCCATGGATCATGCCTTTCCCAACCCTTCCAATCCTGGTTTTGGCCTCCTGCTGTGAACTCACTGACCTTCCAATTCCACCTCACAGGCCTGCAAGTCCCTAGCCCCAAACCTTCCAATCTTGCTACTGATGCATCCAATCCTGCTTCCAACCCAACTGATTTCACCCTCTGACAATTCTGTCTCATTCCCCGGTCCTTTTAAAATTGTCCCCGCTCTCAAATCTGGCCCTGTCCCTTTTGAGCTTAGCCCCAGAAGGAGACTAATATGTGTATAAATTCTTGGGGGTGGCAGTGCAGGTTGAAAAAGTAGTTAATAAGGCACGCAAAATGCTGGGCTTCATTAAAGGCATAGAGTATAAAACCTGAAAATTGCTGAAAAGAAAATCATGTTGCCAAAGTTTCTCATCTTGCACTCATCAAGACAAAGATCGGAATGACAAATTTATTTCAGTTTTGAACATCCTACCAAAGAAAGCCATCAGTGTTTTCACCACATTGCCATATAATGGTAATATAGATGCACACAATTTTCTGTATTTGTGTTCACTGAACTTTTGAAGTTAGTAACTCGTGCTGTTGAGTTCACTTTAAATTACTACCTGTATGGCCAAATTGATGGAGTAGCCATTGGATTTCTTTTAGGTCTAGTGTTCACTAACATTTTTTGTTGTTTTCTGTGAGAAATATGCTTTTAATGATATGAGCCATAACCTCCTACCCTGAGTATATTTTCATACATAGATGATTCAGTTGGACACTAAATCTGCAGCCATGTGTAAGAATTTCCTTACACACCTTAATACATTCCATCCTGATCCTAAATTTACTTTGGGTTGGAACAGTATGACACGCTTCCTTTTCTCAACATGCTAGCTAAGAAATCAGCTAATGGAACTGTCTATTACAAACCTACCTTCACTGATCAATATATATGTTGGGATTCATCAAGCTCCATGAGCCGGAACACTGACCTTATAAGCAATACTGTAAACAAGGGCCTAGTCATATGCTCATCTTGTATGTTTGGTGCAGAAATAGAGTGCATTAAAGGTATTCTGTAGGACAATGGCTATTCTATTCAGATCATTGCAAATCTGTTAGAACTCTTTAAAGAGGTAATGAGCAGGTTAAACCAAGGAGAGCCAATGGATGTTATGTACTTGGACTTCCAGATGGCCTTTGACAAGGTGTTGCACAGGGGGCAGCTGAGTAAGGTAAGGACCCATGGTAATAGAGGCAAGATACTAGCATGGATAGAAGATTGGCTGTCTGGCAGAAAGCAGAGAGTGGGAATAAAAGGATCCTTCTCAAGATGGCAGCCGGTGACTAGTGGTGTTCCGCAAAGGTCAGTGTTGGGACCACAACTTTTCATTTTATATATAATGATCTAGATGAAGGAACGGAGGGCATCCTGGCTCCTTTTGTGGATAATACAAAAATAGGTGGCGGGACAGATAGTATTGAGGAGGTGGTGAGGCTGGAGAAGGATTTAGACAGGTTAGGAGAGTGGGCAAAGAAGTGGCAAATGGAGTACAACGTGGGAAAGTGTGAGGTCAATGCACTTTGATAAGAAGAGTAGAAGCATGGGCTATTTTCTAAATGGGGAGAAAATTCAGAAATCTGAAGTGCAAAGGGACATTGGAGTCCTAGTCCAGGATTATCTTAAGGTAAACTTGCAGGTTGAGTCAGTAGTTAGGAAGGCAAATACAATGTTGACATTTATTTTTAGAGGACTAGAATTTAAAGCAGGGATGTACTTCTGAGGCTTTATAAGGCTCTGGTTAGATCACTTTTAGAGTGTTATGAGCACTTTGGGCTCCACTGGTTCACAGTTAGCCACTTTCAAGCTTGTAAAGTGTGCACTCTACTTCAAATTACCCAGAAAGGGCAAAGTATCTAAAAACTTTGAACAGGTTAAGCAAGTCATTACTACTCAATGGCCATGCAAGTGAAATGTTCCACTAAAGTATGCTGCCATTATTCATTCCAATGATAAGAAATGACCAAGGTAGATTTGAAACTGTCAGAACAAGTTGTAATATTTCTCTCTAAAATTCCTTCACAGATTGACTGCTTGCGTTCCTATGGTTGCAGTTGCATTGCCTTCACTGTTGTTTGTGTCCCTCTAACTAAGCCCAGGCTGCAGCTTAAATCTACTCTGGGTGACTGCTGTGGTGTCGTTTCCAAACAGCAAACCTGTGTTTTTGTGCCTGAGTAGTCAAACCTGTGTTTTTGTGTCTGAGTAAACAAAATCAGAGAAAATAGCTAGATTCTCCAATATATCCATTACTAGCAGAAAAGAACAGTTTTAAAAATGTTTTAGAAAGTGTTAATATCCCACTTAATTTTTTGCAGCTCATTCTTTCAACACCATATTTTCTCTCTCCCATCTGCATATATTTGTCAAGTTTTCAAAATGCATTCAGTCTTTAACTCAGAAACAAGTGAAGCTGGTTTAGAGTGAATGAGTTTTCTATTGGTAATTCCAGGTGGAGTATGAGAAGTCTACAGCCATTAACATATTAACAAACGAATGTACAAATTGGGAGCAGGCCATTCAGTCCCTTCAGCCTGCTCCACCATCAATAAAATCATAGTTGATTTGTTTATAACCGCAAGTCTGCCTGCCTTCTTCGCCCCCTTGCTTAACAAGATTCTCACTATCTCTGCCTCAAAAATGTTCAAGAGCTCTGCATCTATCACTGTTTTAGGAAGAGTTCCAAAGACTCTCAACCCTCTGAGAGCAAAAATGTTCCCCTAATCTCTGTTCAAGTGGGCAACCCCTGTTTTTTAAGCAATGATCCCTTGTTTTAGATTCTCCCATAAAAGGAAAGATTCTCTCCTCATCTACCTCATCAAGATCCCTTCAAGATCTTACATGTTTCAATTAACTTGCCTCTTATTCTTCTAAAATCCGGATACAAACCAAGCTTGTCCAACCTATCCTCAAAAGAGAAAGTGACTTTCATCGGAGTATATCTTAGCAGACACATGCGTGCTAAAGGAGCCAAATAGTGCGACTGTACCAGTTATTTAAATTAGAGTTGTCCTCAACAGAATGCTGTAGATTGGCACATCCCAAAGTCCAGAGATACATGCTAAGGGACATAACTAAAGCTTGGGGTATCTGTCACAAAGGTACAGTGAGGAAAGGCCACTGTCTCAGGCATTTCAGCCAAAGTGTACTATCAGGCGGTGTTCTGAGGAAGGGTCACCGGACCCGAAACGTTAACTCTTTTTTTCCTTCACAGATGCTGCCAGACCTGCTGAACTTTTCCAGCAACTTTGTTTTTGTTCCTGATTTACAGCATCCACAGTTCTTTCGGTTTCTATCAGGCTGCATGTTTGTCACTGACTGTATATAGAAAATGTCACATGTATTAGAATCGGATTGGGATACTGAAGAGCACAACATGCTCAATGGAAAAATGTTATATCTGTTGTATTTTCCAGAACATCCAGTCTGAAACATTTTAGGGTATTGTTTTAAATATTTAATGAACAAAGTTTATTTTTGCAAAAACCATTATTTAAACATATTAGAGGAACTGTGTTTTCGCTTCAGCAAGAATGCAATGGAAGCATGTCCTGTCTTATACTCTTAAACCTCCAAACTGCCTTAGAAACCAGAACAGCTCTGCCAATGATGGTGCATGCCTCAGGTGAAATTTGTGCCTCAGCTTTTAAGGTAAAATTTACCTATCAGCCAGTTTGTAGTGCATCTGGTCAATGATGTAAAGTTTGTCAGAGCCATAATAAGTGGCCCTTTAATGAGGAAAAAGTGCCATTTCATCACCCACTCAATGTAGGATTCTGTCCATGATTTTTTTACAGAAAGATCTCAGTAAATTCCTGGGGATTTTCTTTCTGTGCCCCAATATGTGTTTTTGGGTATGCCACCACTTAGAGTCATAGATAGAGCCATAGAATCATACAGCATGGAAATAGACTCTTCGGTCCAACTCGTCAATGCCGAACAAGTTTCTCAAACTAAACTAGTCCCATTTGCCTGCGTATGGCTCATATCCCCCTAAATCTTTCCTGTTCATGTACCTATCCAAATGTATTTTAAATGTTGTAACTGTGCCTGCATCCACCACTTCCTCTGGCAGTTCATTCCACATAAGGACCAATTTGTACTCCTATTTGTTGGCTCTGCCATCATGCTGACTTTCTGAAATTTGTGTAAAAGATCACACTAAACCCCTGGACAATACTAATTCCACAATTTCTCACTATTTTAAACCCAAACATTTGTTTTTTTTTCTTCTCTTCCTACAAACATGAATCACATTTCACTACATTGGATTCCACTTTGCTTCAAGTAGAGAATCTTCCACCTGCTGATATCAACCTATTCAACACCGCCTAAGAATCAAATCTGGGCCCTCATGTCTATATACTTAAATTCTATACTAGGCATTGCATTTATTAACTGACCAGGAAACTGGAATTTTATAAAAGGTTATTAGTGTTGCAAACTAAATCTACTGTCAGTATTATGTGATTCAGAAAAATTGAAAGGCAAAGGTTCGAGGTATCTATTTGAAAGAACGTTGCAGCTGACAGCAAGTACAAAAATATTTAAAATTAGGAAGATTAATTGATTTGTTATCTACATTGAAACCTACAACTGCACTGTATTGTGGTGAACATCACTGATCAATTCCGCTTCCAATTTCCACTGCCCTCACTTTCACCTGATCTATCTCTGACTCTTCCCTTCCCTTCCTTGACATCTCTGATTCTATTTCTGGGGATAGACTGGTCACTAATATCCACTAAAAACCCACCGACTCCCACAAGAACAACACCTTATTTTCCACTTGGGGACCCTGCAGCCCTCCGGGGACTCAATATCAAGTTCAATAATTTTAGTGCCTAAACTCTCCCAGGTCCTAGCCTCCTACCCCCACAGCAGGCCTTTTTATCACATAGCCTGCCATTACACACTACCTATTATTAGTCACTAACAGTCCCCATTAACAGCTATTCACCATCCTAGCCAAATTGTTATCAACTCCTTTGTCTATCCAACTGTCCTTCTCTCCGTGCTCTATCCTATCGTTTACTCCCTACCCCATCCCCCTCCCTATTTTCTGCATATAAACCAACATTTTCCCATCTACCATAAGTACTGAGGAAGGGTCAGCGGACCCGAAATGTTAACTCTGATATTTTCTTCACAGATCTACAGACTTGCTGAGCTTTTCCAGCAACCTCTGTTTTTGTTCCTGATTTACAGCATCAACAGTTCTTTTGGTTTTTATCACTGATACACACTTTTATTGCTGTTTTACAGATGAGAAATGAGCCGAAGAACATATCCATTTCCTGTCAGTACATTGCACAAGTTAAAGGGATTTCAGTGGAGAATGTCATGGAAGTGACAACGAGGAATGCATGCAAACTTTTCCCAAAGCTTCAAAAATTAATCCACTTATAACCTAGATTCTCTCTACAATAAAAAGTAACAAAGTTGAGTAAGAATGCGTTATTTCCTGGAGATTGAACGATTCTATCATAGGCTATCTTTTCTTTGTACATCTTAGTGTTAAGTAAGAATAAGACATGTTAAAGGCAACCTTAAAGTTCATAATAGCTGTCCCAATTTATTTCATTACATTTCAATTTACATACATTAAAACTAAGACTAAAAATTACTTTGTGTTCACTAATTTATCAAATCAGTGATGGTGAAAAGAACACTGTAAATATGAACTAAAAGCAAAAGAAGCTGGAAATCAAAGAAATGTTACAGTGCAGAAGAAGGCCATTCAGCCCACTACATCTGCACTGGATATCCAATGAGCATTTTGACTTTGTGCCATTCTCCTGCGTTTTCCCTGTAACTCTGCATATTATTTCTATTTAAATAGTAGTTTAAGCTTTCTTGCATGCCTGAATTGAACCTGTCTCCACATATTCCTCAGAAGCCCATTCCAGATCCAAACCACTCGTGTGAAAAGGCTTTTTTCTCAAATCACATTTGCTCTATTTGCAAATCACTTTAAATCTGCACCCTCTCTTTGTTAATCCTTTTATAAGCACAAACAGATTCTCACTATCCACACAATCCAGACTTTGCACAATTTTGAAAACATGTGTCATATCTCTTAATCCCATCCCAGTTCTGAAGAAGGGTCCTGACCCAAAATGTCAACTTTCCTACTCCTCTGATGCTGCCATGCCTGCTGTGTTCCTCTAGCTCCACACTTTGTTATTTGTGACTCCAGCATCAGCAGTTCTTACTATGTCTCACATCATCTTAAGCATTCTTCTCTTCAAGGGGAACAGTCCCAACTTCTTTATAGTCAAAAGTTTTTCATCATTGTAACTATTTTCATAAATCTCTTTTGTTCTGTCTCCAGTGTGTTCACGTACATGCTATATTGCAGTGCTCAGAAATATTCACAATAATGCAGCTAAGTGTTTTGTACAGCCTTCTTGCTCTCGTACACAATGTCCCTATTAATAAAAGCCAGGATACTATATGCTTTGTTAACTACTCACCCTACCTGTCCTGCCACCTTCAATGATCTATGCATATATAAATCCTTCTGATCCTACATTCCCTTAGGTATTGAAACCACTCTTTATATGGTCTGTCCACATTCTTCCAACCAAATGCATCACTACTCATCTATCCATATTGAACTGCACCTGCCATCTATCTGTCTATTTCATCAACTTTTCTGAGAGCTCTGGAGGTCCCACACCACTCTCCTCAGAGTTTATAATGCATCCAAATTCTCTCCTTGTTAATCCTTTTATAAGCATGAACAGTTTCTCCCTATCTACACAATCCAGACCTTGCACAATTTTGAAAACTTCTGTCACATCTCTTTGTTCTCCTTGAAGAGAAGAAAGCAAACTTGGAGATTGTTTCCTGCACACAAGGTCTAAATCAATAATGTGTCAGGAAAAGTGAGTCCCAATACTGGCTCTTAGGGTACTCTACTAGAAAACTTCATCCAGCCTGAAAAATGTGTATTGGCGACTACTTTCTGTTTTCTATCCCTCAGCCAATTTTGTATCCACATTGCTACTGTCCCTTTTATTCCCTGAACTATGACTTTCCTCACAAATGTGTTGTGTGGCATGACCATCGCTTGTATGATTGTAGTATTAACTCCCCTTTCATGTCTGTCCCTTGTGAATAGGTGTTGACAGGAACATTAGGTAAACTATCCTGCTGTTTTGTTTTAAAACAATGTTGTGGAATCTTTTACCTGAACAGGCAGATGAGTCATCAATTTAGTGGCCCATGTGAAAGTTTAAATAGATAAATAAATTTTAAATGGATAAGCTTTTGAAGTATCTTTATCACAAATCAACATTTTAAGGATTGAAAACCAGTCTATGCTGACTTTGTACAAGACACTTATTAGATCTCAGCTGGAGTATTGCATACAGTTCTGGGTGCTACGTTTTAGGAAAGACAAGAATGCATTAAAGAGAGGGTAGAAGAGACTTATGTGAATGATTCTAGGGATTAAAAATAACTTCAGCTGTCAAGGTAGCATGCAGAACTTGAAGTCTCTTTTTTCCGGAGAGAAGGCTAACAGGACATTTGATAGACTTTTTCAAAATAATGAAAGCTCTGAACAACGAAAATAGGGAGAAGCTGTTTCTTCTCATAAAAGTAGTGAGAATGAATGGGCACTGATTTAAGATAGTTTTCAAAGGAAGTAAATGCAATGTGATCAAAAACATTATACTGTATGTACGATTCGGGTCTGAAATGCACTGCCTTAAAAGTGTGATGGAGGCTGGTTCAGCTGAGGCATTCAAAAAGACCTTAGGTCATCAAATAGAAACAATATTCAAGGTTATGTGGAAAAGGCAGGATAATGGCACCAAATGTAATGCTCATTTCAGTTCTCGTTCTGGAACTAAAGGTGAATCAGGCTCAAATGGCCATTTGACCCACTCCTGCTCCTTCTTATTTTGGATGTTCTTATATGAGCCAAAACTCTTCACACAGATTATCTAGTCATTTACCCCTCTGTTGTTTATGAGTCTGCCTATGTGCAAATTGGCTGCAGCTTTTGCTTATGCATTATTAGAACTTCTAAGTCTTTAAAATGCTCTAGCACTTCCTGTAGTCATGAATGTGCTTTATAAATGAAAGTTCACTTTTTCTTTTGAGAGGACTTCATATTAAACAAGTTTAGATTACAGGCAATATCACTCTTCACAATGCCATGGAGACCCAAGTCCAGCACTCTGTGTCTGCTGGGTAGGTAGAGATATGGCTGTCTGCATCTGGATCTGCCCTCTGTACCTCCCCCAGCCCCAGGCATATTGAGTAAACATACTAGATTTTGTTGTGCACTGTCCCCTTGGAAGCCAGTGTGCTGCATAACGTTGACAACCCATGCTGTATCATGATGCTTTTTATATGTTGAGTTGGCTTCTCCTTCAGGATTGCCATTCCCTCTGCATTCCACAGTTCTAACTACAATCCCCATAATTAAGTTCTCCACTTTTCCGCCTGCAATGCTGGCCTGCTCATAAACATGCCTAGAGAACAGACCCCACCCCCCACTGTCCTGCCCCACCATCACCAAAGACTGATCGTAGCCCACCACATTGAATGACTTAGCTGGACAGCTCGAGCAATGACTGACCAGACCGCTGACTGATAAGTGTACAGCTCTCCAACTGTGGTTCCAACCAACAGACCGGTTGCACTCGACCCACAAAGCAAACTGTGACCCATTTTCGGGGCTGAAGACGTATGGGACCCCTAACCATGAGCACCCTGAGCAGGCTTTACTTTATGTCTCAGGAGCCTCTGACTGAAGGGTGTCTCTCTTTGGACATAACTGAGGACTACTTTAAGAAATGGCTGTTTGCTTGTTGCACTGCAGTGTGTTTGCCACGTAAGCTGCTAGAACTGGGTGCAACTATGAGATTGATGTATTACAGTGCTGTACTGCTAGTCCACATCCTTTGCTGATCACTACTGACAAGCATGACAAGCTCCCTGGCTTTGTGTTGGCATTAAACGACAAAGCAAGACAGAAGAATTATGATCATGTAAACTCTGGTTAAAGGGGCAAAATGCAAAATGGAAAGGCAGGGATGCTGTGAGCGTTCAATGCTAAGTCTCTCTACACTAAGAGAATGAGTGAGCAGCCCTGAAATGCAGCCTGCTCCAATCTGTGAGCTGGATGTCTGTCCCTGCACCAAAGTGTCCTGCGAGTAACATTACAATGAGAAGAGCTGGAGCACGGCAGTGCAGAAACTTGCTGTAAGTGAATTGGAGATGCGCCGTGATGGTGCAGAGAGACTGTATTATGTCGGATACCAGCATCTTTGCGGTGCACGTGGCTGCTGCTATAGAATGTTCCCTGACATATTGGAGTTGGGTGTCTGAGATAGAAATCCCAAGGAACAAGTGTCAAGCTGGAATCACCATATAACACTCTGAATCTCATGCAGGGAATTCCCAGCATCTGGTTTCTATCTGGCAGGCAGTAGAAGGGGATCTTGGGTACTATTAAATAGTGTTAGGGTGATAATGATCAATAATCCCCAATTATAGGCCTCCTGCTACTCACTAATGAAAATCTCATCTCAACATCTGAAAGTTAGTTAGAACATGTGATTTGTTGCTCCCAGTGTTGAGGAAGGTCTTCCTCAAACTCTCACATGATTCTCCCAAAATTCACACCATATCCCATGTTGTCCAAGACTTGGGAAGCTTTGGCTAGTTGTAATATTCTGGCCTGGCTCTACTAAAATTTGATCTTTTACTTCAGGCTCAGACACATTGTGTCATTCTCTGTATCATTTCTCGTAAGTGAAACAACAAACAGCAAAACTTTCAAAACTGTAGAATATGACAGTAAGATTTTGTTTACAAAGATATGCTACAAAAGTATTCAGTAAAGGTCAGAGATGTACTTTAGTATCATAATAACAAATATTCAAAGTTACATCAATTTTTAACTATTCATCCTGAGAAATCCTGAGAGAAAGTACCAGCAAAATGAGACTTAAAAGAGCAAAATATTTGGATGTCAACATACTAAGCCACTTTTCTGGATTATAGATGAAACATAAAGTCAAAGACAGGAAAATCAAGGACATTGCTTTAATCTGTCACAGTCCTTAATTAGGCCTAATATTCAGATTGTAAATGGAATAATGCCTGCAGAAGGGTCAGCCAGAGGATAAGCTGTTTTTCCCACAGCCTTCAATATCCCAAAATCCTTCATCAACTTTACAAAACTTAACTTGACGTAGCATAAAATATGTCAAATAGATGCAGATTTATTTCTTTAATAAAGTCGAAGCAGTTCTTAAGATTTACAAAGTACAAGTTGAAATTATGAAGAATCAGATGATCCATTATCTCAGCTTTGTTATTATGCTGGTTGACCTTAAAAGTGAAGTTCATCCAAGTTACATCTGAAACCAAACAGTGAGAATGGAGCTTTAGCACAGCACTTAGATGCATGCTTGCTTGAAATGCT